TTCCTGAATTTCGACAGCTAACTAAAATGTTCAGCATAAATTTTTGGGCTGGATCGCTTGCGCTGGATATTCAGAAGTGTGAAAGCAGTAGCTGCAAAATAGTCGTCTTATAAGCATACAGCAGTTTGCTTTGATGAAAAACAGCAGCTTGCAGCGTATCGCTGTATAGCTGAATCGTCTTAGATGCCAAGAATGTAGCCACAATAGTGCTTCTGTTTTAAAATTAACTCATAACGTTTTAAAAATAAAATCGCTGAAGCACTTACAGTCGTTATTCAAAATTAGCTACATCAAACTTTGATTTAAAAGTTTTTCTAATTGTAAATGAAATAAGAATTTTGGAAAAGTTAGGCTAAACCTACATTTGATTCTGTCATCCTCTTTAATAATAATAACAATAATAACATTTATTGGTCCATCAGTATTGCTTAATTTGTGAAATAACTTTGATTTTTGTTAAATAATTGATATTTTTATTATGAATTTCCATTTTGACAGTAACCTAATTTATTTGACGTTTGAACGTAATTATTTGTTTAGCATTAAAATCCCTCAACCTACGCTCATGATTCTAGTATTGGTATCAAAAACTGGTATGCCGCACATCAAAAATCAGTATGAGGCGGCACGGTCAATCATTCTCGATCACCCTGTAGAACAGAAATCTAAAATATTGTTTGTAAAATATTATCTATACTTCCATTAATATATTTTTACTCATAAATAAAAAAAAATACCGATAACATTAACAACGTGTTCCTACTTGCCTTAATACGATAGCTTAATTTGATGCACTGTCCTCTTAAAATAAAGTTTCTAACTTTTTGCAAACGGCTATCAAACGGTTCTAATGATTTTCGCATAGTGTTAAATGTATTTTGAGTGACACTCAAACTCCTCTAAAACTAGGTTATGAAAATGTCCTTTTCGTTTCTCCAAAAATATATACTCATAATTTCCTGTTCGCTTTTTGTTTTAACTTTGATCTATGATTTTTTTAGACATGAGCAAATTTAATATATAAATTATTTTCCAGTAAAAATAATTATAATTATTTACTCCAACAAAAATAACAAAATCACAAAATTCAAATTTAACAAAAAAAAAAGGTTACATATACAGTGTAGGAAAGTACCGAAGTTACGTGAGAGCGATACAGTAAGCCATAGAAATCCATGTGATAGACAAGGATGGCTGTAATGAAGGCGTCTAATAGTCAACGCCCATTTCGCCCTTACACAAATAAGAAGTGGATCTTATTTGTGGAAGGGCGAAACGGGTGGTGTCTATGAGACGCCTTTATTATAACCATCCTTCTCTATCGCATGGATTTCTATGGCTTACTTTATCGCTCTCACGTAACTTCAGATAGACCATCGGTACTTTCCTACCCTGTATATTTGACAGTGAAACCACTTGACACCAAGGATTCAACTTACAAGCTTAGCTTACAAGTAAAAAAAATCAATATAGTGGGAAAAAAAAACAAAATTCGCATTACATAAGAACTCTTTAAAATCTATTTTTTTGCAAAACTGCAAAATTCGTATAAAAATCTAGATTTTCGCATTCTTAGGATTAGCCTTAACACAACACGTACATGCGGTGCATGTAATAATGACGTAGCAAAATCTGCAAAAGAAACAGCTCGCTGGTCATCTCATTCTCATTATTTATTCGATCCAGTATATACATAGTTTGCTTTGAAGTTAATAAAAATCGCAATTTAAGTGGATGATAAGAAAAATATTTTAATTTATTTTGTGATATGTTCTGTGATAATTATTGTACATGTACAGTACTACTAAGTATTACACTTTATTTTACTACAGTACCTGAAGAGAAAGAAATATATAGGTTAAGATTTATTTAATTACGTTTATTTTTTATTAGTGTACGTTAATATTTAAGATTTAAATACTCAATGCAATTAATAATAACCTTATAAAGAGCGAATATTAAATTATTTATGAATAGAACAATTATTTTACGAACATGGATATCAAAATTGATGAATCAAATCAAAATAAAACGCTTTTAGAAGAAACATTTTATGTTTTAACAAAAAAAAATTGTATCTTTCGAGTTCGTTTAACAAGAAGTGGTCTTTGTCTAATAAAAGAAAGTGGTAAAAATATAAAGGAACAAGTAATACCAATTCGTGATATAATAGGTTGCAGATGTTTACGAAGTAAAAAGCAAACAAAAGGATGTACTTGCCAATCTATGCCAAGATCTAGTAGCTTAGAAGTGGTAGAAGAAAGTTCTGGTGAACTAGATGACTCTGATCTAAGTGCATATTTATATATTTATGCGTACATATTTCAAACTTCCAAGGGTGCAAATAAAAAGCGAGAAAGAACAATAATTACCTTGAGATTTAGATCATTTGATAAATATGAAGATAATAATAAGGAAGCACAAAGATGGAGAACTGTAATAAAAAAGTTAATCAAAGGAGAGAATGTAACTAGCATTAGTATATCTGATTTTACGATGAGTAATAAACATAAAGAAACTAGAAGACTGCTTGTCCTGTGCAATCCAAAAAGTGGACCGGGAAAAGGCAAACAAATTTTTCAACATAAAGTTGCACCGATTTTACAGGAAGCAGAAATTCCTTATGATTTACACGTGACCAAGCATGCTAATTTTGCTAGAGAATTTGTAAGGGGTAGCAATTTATATCAGTGGAGTGGTATAGTATTGGTAAGGAACTTATTACTTTATCTAAAAATTTAATAAAAAAAAAATTGTAGAATACATTGCCTGTTACTACTATACCTAGGTGCTATTAAAGTCGCTTTACAGTCTGTAATTCTTTCTGCAAGTTGCAAGTCTCTTGCACGTAGGCATGCGCACTGAGCAGCAGTGTATTGCAAAAGTTGTCCTATCTGAAAGACTCTTGCACTTTTGGAATATCGGTTGTGCTCGATTTTTATTGCAGCTTTTCTGCAATTCTGGGGAATAATTTAGTAGTTTGTATGGTTACCACCTACGTAAAAGCTCCTAAGCTGAACTGTCAAATTCAAATGTAATGATAACAGTGTGTTTATAGTATTATTAGATCGTTGATCTTTCGCACACGGTGTACCAATCTTTGTAGGTATTAATCTATATAGATATATCAACGTACTATTTTTGTATTTGTGGCAAAAATAAAATGTCTTGTCACAAAGGGTAAGTTTTGCTCAGCAGTTATTTTAATCCACAGGTCAAAATAATTATACCTAACCTTATTGTTATTGTAGAGCTGGTTTTGACTGGAATAGAGACTACAATTTTGTTAATACAGTTATATGAAGAGCATCCTTGCTTGTATTTAGTGAAACAGGAAAATTTCCATAACAGAAATAAAAGGAGCGAGGCACTGGAAAAAATTACACGAGAATTTAATGAACGGAAATTGGCAAATCTAACCGTAGAAGACATAAAAAAAAATTCATGGCATTAGGACCCAATACTTGGCTGAAATTAGCAAAATTAAAAAAAGTTAAGTGTCAAGGGCATCAACAGACGATGTATATACACCAAAATTATGGTGTTTTGATTATTTACAATTTTTACAACAGGGGAGTGGTGTAGTAACTGAAGGGGAATCTAATCTCGAGGTATCTACAGCAAGTGAAAAAGAACAGGTACCTGTAGAAAGTGAACCAGAAGTAAGTAAATTAATAAATTATTTTTTTGTTAGCAATTATAGAAACAATAATGTTCCCTATTGATAAAATTAGGTTTTGGGGCAGTGGGCTCTGTAAGTTAAAATTTATAATAAACAATTAAATGTGTACAGAATTTTTTCAAATATCACATGTTTGTATGTTCACAAAGTTAGGATATGCTTTCTGTATCTGTCTTAAAGATATATTTTTGCCCCCATGATTCCTTTTCTGTTAATATCTTTTAATATTTAATGATGAAGGGACTAATGAATGGTTTAATATAATTTTTATCTTTCTTGTAAAATAGTATTTGATGGAGAAATAAGTGATATAGGAGTAGTTATGCCGCCCCATTGTATTCCTTCAACATCAAGGACACCATCAAGAAGTGAAGGTGAAGAGTTTTCTAGAAAAAGAAAGAGAAAGACAGAAAAAGATAAAATAAATGGTATTCTCGATACAGCACTGGCTACATTAAAGAATTTCACAGACGAACCTGCACAAGAGCAATGTATATTGAAACATGCTTCGTTTGGACGGTAAGTTACTTCATTATGAAAATAAAATAAAATACTTTTGTATATAAGTAATATGTTTCCATTGCAGATTTATAGTAGACGAACTAGAGAAAATCGAGGATGAAGTACTTCTAGATGAATTAAAGGAAAACATTATTCAAAATATCTTTTCCACGAAGAGAAGACGGAGAGATTTGAGAAAATAAACTATTTTCCTTGATTAGCATATATGTTAATAAAAAACAAGTTTGTACTATTGAAAAATTTATTTCTTATTCTGACATAAAAATCCTTAAATAATTTCATCCTGCCATGGTACTCTTCCGCATCCAACAAAGTATTCTTTAAATTCTTCTCTGACATTAAGTGCTTCATTTCTTGGCCTACCATAGTTTTGCCTACTCAGTTCAAACAGATACCTAAACTTTTCACCGTCTGTTTTATCTGGACCATTTCCCAAATAAGTAGTGCTCAATTCTTTCTTTAAAAAATTGTGAAGAGCACAGCATGTCAGTAATAATTTTTGCTTTTTTCAGGTCTTAAATTTATTGTATTTAGCAATACCCGAAAACGGTTAGCCAATATACCAAATGTATTTTCAACTACTCGACGTGCTCTACTTAACCTATAATTGAAAATTCTTTGTTCTCTCGTCATATTTTTGAGTGGATAAGGTTTAAGTATATGACTTGATAGAACAAACGCTGCATCTGCTACAATAACATGAGGTACTGGTTTTGATCTCCCAGGAAGAGGTTTGTCTTCAGGAAAATTCAATGTGTTATTTTCAATAGCTTTTGACAGATCACTTTGCCAAAATATCCCACCATCTGATAATCTGCCATTCATCCCAACATTTATATACGTGAAGTTATATTTTGCATCAACAAGTGCTAATAAGACTATTTATATTATGTTGTTTTTTGTAATTAAAATATGCAGATCCCTGATCTTTAGGAGCTTTAATTACAATATGCTTCCCATCTAATGCCCCTATAACATTTGCAGCATTCCATATTGTTTCAAAATCCCTCGAAATTTCTAATCACTCCGCAGCAGTTGATGGAAACTAAAAAAAAAATACTTTCAAATATTCGATTTTCAATTCTTTATATATTGCTTCACATACTACTGGAATGAATAGTGATATAGCACTTTCTGAAATTCTATAATTGTACATTAAGCTACGAATGCTTTCGCCAGTAGCTAAATATCTTAATGTAACTATTAGTTTATCTGCAGCTGATATGGTTTGTCGACAAAATGACTTTTTTGTTATTCTATGTTCAATCTTATTCAACAATGTCAGAAATGTTTCTTCATTCATTCTTAAAAAATTCAAATACTTCTCTGGATCAGATTTTGTAAATTCATCAATTAAACAAATATTTCCCCTACTCTGATTAAGCCATGGTCTTACCCACCATCTTCGTGATTTATGCTCATTTTTCAAGACTTCCATAAGCATAGTAGCAGCAATAATAATACATATTATTGAAGCTGCAACTGTCTTCTTTCGATTCAAGGTTTTCATTTTCACTTGTAGATTGAGACTGACATCAGTAAAATCTTTATTTTATAGGTTATGGTACTTGTCAATTTTTATATTTGGATAAACTGGTAGTGTGCATTCAGTTTTAAGTGTTGGTATCGCTTCTATTGCATTTGCGAATTGACAACTGTAAAACAAACCGTGAGTCAAAATTTCCGGAAAGGTATTGCAAGTGAAAGGGCTTGCTGCAAGTCATTGCAGAAGGAATTGTGGACTGTAAAGCGGCTTTTATCAAATTTCAAAAAAATTTACATATAAAAGTAAAAATCAAAATATTCTTTGAATAATACTAGTAGTCTATTAATGCTACAAGCTAACTGCCATTTTAGTCAAATTTTAAGAAACAAGACGCATTTAATTTCTCAAAATATATTACATACATTGGATTTTTAATAATTATGTTCTTCAACTAGAATGGTAAAAACCAATTACAATTTAATATAATGTAATGCTCTTTTGTACTTTGCCCAGTAATTGGTGATTTCACTGTTGGACAAATAAATTCTATAATGTATAAATATTGACATTTCTTTAGTAATTTTCATTGATAATTCAGTTAGAATAATAATTAATATTTGCTATCAAAAAATATTTCTCTTAAATGATGTTTATTCATCCTTGTTCATTGCCTTCAAAACTTTTTGCTGTATGGTGGTGATGTATAAAAACTAATTTACGAACAAATAATGTCGGTGAAAGATTACGAGACATGATTTCTAATTTTGTTCTTTTCCTTTTTTATGTCTGACTGTTAGTTTTGGCACTATGAGATCTCTGCTACCCAACGAACTCGCATTCCTTTTATCTAATCTATCTACTCTCGCACAGAAGTTATATCCTTACATCTCACTTTTTATACAAGGAACTCAATATAAAATATATTTGTAGGTTGGTGGTGATGGAATCATTTACGAGGTCATAAATGGTATTTTTGAACGATGGGATTGGTCAGAAATAATAAGATCAATTCCAATAGGGGTAGTTCCTGGAGGATCTGGTAATGGGTTAGCACGAAGTATAGCCCACCATTGCTCCGAACCGTGGCTGCCCTCTCCAACATTACCATCGGCACTTGCAGCTGTTAGAAACAATCAGACCACTATGGACCTCGTCAGAGTTGAAACTACATCTCAGATTATGTTCTCTTTTCTTTCAGTAGGATGGGGTTTACTTTCAGATATTGACATCGAAAGTGAAAGATTTAGAATGTTAGGAGGTCAAAGATTCACAATCTGGTCAGTGGCCAGATTGATTGGTCTTCGTAGCTATGGCGGAAAATTATGGTATTTGCCTGCTGATGTCCCGGAAACCGAACCTAAAGAGACTTTAGGGAGTGCTTGTGGTAGTAATTTAGATCTACCATCAGAAGTTCATTTAGAAACTCAAACTGGTAAGTAATTACTGATATTGATACTATAAAAAATAAAAAAATTCACTGATATTTACATACAATATCACAAAACAGTAACATATGCTACACCATAAAATTAGGAAAAGATAGGGGAATCCAATGATACAAAAGTATTAGATTTGCATTTAAAAGTCATCATGGTTGCTGAAAAATAGGACTGTTTTTGTATAGATCTTCAAATTCGATAAAAATTTAAACTAAAATTTTGTTCTTTAAAAAAAATGTTTTATTCGTTTTTAAAAGAACTATCTCATCTTATACAGGGATCAAAAATAAGATTTAAACCAATTTAACTTTAATTTTTTAGTATCACGTTAAAAACATTTTACCTTAAACTTGCTATTTGGTACATGTCTTTACTTGTTTGAGTTTCTTAAATATAACAATAAAGTAACATGCAGGATGTTATTTTTATGTCTATGCCTAAGGCTTAAGTGTTGGATTTTCCCTTAGTGCCGTCCTGGGCACCGTAAAAAATGCCGCCCCATTACCCATATTCTAGACAAAATGGATAAGAGTTCAGAATACTTTTTGACTTTCCGCTATAAAAACCACTAATTTTATTGATTTCAGGCCGATTTTCGAAAATCGAGTATTCATCAGATCTCAACGTTTTGAGCTCAAAAAACTACGCCGAATTCTGTAAATCATATGAAAATCAGTTGATCCGTTCGAGAATATTGTTGACGAAAATTTTCGGAAAAAGTTTTTTTTCTTTTGAAACGACATTCGAATTTCTAGTGAAATCGAGATTTGGTACTCAGCTATCTGTTTGTGCTTTAAAAACGTTAACAAATGCTGTGGATCTTACCTCAACCGGTTGATTAATTTAAAAAGTATATCTGCCCAAATATTAAAAAAAAGTAATTTGAAACAATTATCGGATTTTTAAGGTCTAAGAGCTCAATTACTTGCAATTGCGTATGTTTTCGAGTGCTTTGAACTCGAAAATAACGAAAAATTTGGGAGATGGCCTGAAAGGTCAACTGATTTTCAGATTTTTTTTTTAAATAAATAAAATAATTGATTTGTTGTTGAAAATATTTTTATTATGATTACAGTGATTACATACACAAGAAACATTCTTTGTCATATTAAAAATCATAAATTATAATGACACATAAATTGAGATACAGAATACATATTTTCAGAGACAAACGCGCCTGACTTTTTGATTTGCAAATTGGTCAAGTAAATCTTCACAATCCAATCGTTGAAGCAACTCTAATTCAATGCATAAGATGGCTAAACTTCCACATAGGTACTTCCTTGTTCTGAATTGATGCGATCATTAATCAGCTTTGTTTCTGTACCTTCCTTTTTTGTGAAAAATCCATCTCATTTAGGAGTTTTAGATAATATTTCTTCCTCTGTTTTATTTTTCTTCAAAGCGTGCTTTCAATACGCAAATCCGCTTAACTTTCCCCGTCCGTCACTCATCTTTGTAAATTATGCACAGGTTAGATTCGTATAAACGTCATATGTAAATAGAGTTATATAAATAAAAGAACTGCGAATTGGAATGCAGGTGGCAGAATGAGAAAACAGCAACTTATGCATTTCGCAGGGCGTAGTTTGAACTAAAATAATCACCAGGAAAAAAAATATATATAATTTTATATAATAGCGTATTGCATATTTTATATTGTTATATAAATTATACACTACACGCCTAAAGTATGGAATAAATTCAGTAAAAACGAAACAAATTTTTTTAGCATAAAAGGCGATTTTCAACCGTCATTTGTTTTCAAGTAATGGTCATCGACATTTTTTTTAAATAGCAAACCCTTATTTTTTTCTTGATTCTGAAAGATCGTTTCATTGTCGATCCGACAGTATTAAAATGTTACCATCTTACATAGGAAAGTTTTCGAGTAAATGACGATTGAATGTTAGAAAATCCAAATCAATTAAAATAAAGCAAAAATGTTATCAAATTTAGTTTTCCGAAATGCCTGAAGTTTTTTATGGATCACGTAGGTGTAAATCTTTACAAAGTATCACTGTCATACCCACTTTCTAAGTATTGTAAGGGATATAAAAATTATTGTTGAATTTAAAATATTATGGCACATTTAACTGTCACACAAAGAATTGAAATTTTAATTCTTATCGGAATCGGGGATAAGACTAGAACACAGCAGGAAGTTTGCGATTTATTTAATGAAAAACATCCAGATCACCGTATCAACAATCAGTAAGAATCTAAATTTAGAGAAACTGGCAATGTTGTACATATTCCAAAACCTGGACGTCCAAGCGTTAGTGAAGATCACAAACAGAACATTTTGATAAGTATGGTAGATAATCCTCATAATACTTCACGATTGGTTGCATTAAACAATGAAATTAGTCAGACCACAGTGCTACGTATCCTGAGGCAGGAAAAATATCATCCCTACAAAATTCAACTTGTGCAGGAACTCAATGAAGACGATCCCGACCGCCGCTTACACTTTTGTGAAATTATGATGGATTTATGTCAAGTAAATAGAGATTTACACCGGCAAATACTTTTTTCAGACGAGGCCACGTTTTGTCTCAATGGTACAGTGAACCGTCAAACTTGCAGGTATTGGAGTCGGGAAAATCCTCATTGGATGGCAAAGACACATACCCAACACCCACAGAAATTAAATGTGTGGGCTGGAATAGTTGACAACAGAATAGTAGGGCCTTTCTTCTTTGAAGGAACCCTTACAGGAGAAAGATATTTAGAGTTTTTACAAAATGACCTTGTTCCAGCGCTTGCAGTAATTTTTCCTAACGATAATGACCCTGATATTCCTGATGACACCATATGGTTTCAGCAAGACGGTGCACCTCCGCACTATGCGCGCCCTGTTCGAGATTTTCTGGACAATTGTTTTCCTAGGAGGTGGATCGGCAGACGAGGACCGATAGAATGGCCCGCGAGATCCCCAGATCTTACACCCCTGGACTATTTCTTATGGGGCTACTTAAAGTCCAAAGTGTACGTTAATAGACCACATAATTTAGAAGAACTCCAAAATTGTATTATAGATGAAATACACAGAGTTACCCCAGAAATAATTCATAATGTGCAAGAAGAATTTCTACACAGACTTGCGTATTGTCAAGAAGTCGGTGGGTGGCAATTCGAACACTTAATTTAGGTAGAAAACTTAATGAATTGTATTTGCTTGACATAGGAATTGTTATTTTTTTAATGAATAAAATTTACGTTTTCTAACATTCAATCGTCATTTACTCGAAAACTTTCCTATGTAAGATGGCAACATTTTAATACTGTCGGATCGACAATGAAATGATCTTTCAGAATCAAGAAAAAAATAGGGGGTTGCTATTTAAAAAAAATGCTGAAGTCATTACTCGAAAACAAATGATGGTTGAAAATCGCCTTTTATGCTAAAATATGTATTTTTTAAATTAAAAATCAACCTGTTCGAGGATTTTTCCCAAAAAAAATTTGTTCGTTTTTACTGAATTTATTCCATACTTTAGGCGCGTACTGTATATAGATGATTTTACAATCATTTTTGTTTTTAGATAAATATATAAATTGATTCTATTTATTTTTATTTGTAAATGCACACTTTTTGAAGCATTTTTGATAGCGCAAAAAAAAAATTCTGCCCCGAATTTTGCACTAGCCCCTAGTGTAAATCCAGCACTGTGCTTAACTGACTCGCATTTTGTAACACCAAAATGATTTTAATATATTTTTTCTCGTCAAATTTTTATAATTGCTATGAATTTTGAATAAAAAAAATAAATTTTGTTATTAATTTGATTGAAATACAGTGTTCCAGAATTTAGTTTAATATTTGGATGAGCAATTTAAAAGCAAAATTTTTAAACATCCTTTATTAATCAAAATCCATAGCACAAGAAACAAAAAAAATGCTTGAAACCAACATTGTATTCAAAAATGTAGATTAGACAGACAAAAAATAACTTTGTGTGTTATTCTCTTCCAAACTGTAAAAAAAAGATATTTTCATATTTCAGGCAGACAAAGAGTTGACTCCTGGTATAGTGCTAATTCACGCAGAAGTGCATATTTCTCAGCGACTGGAAGCTCGTATCAGTCTACCACAGACAGTGGAGTTGGCGAGCCGACCAGTTCTGCAGAGAAACCCATAATGTATGGTCCCGCTCCCCAAATACCGTGTTTACCAGCACCGTTGCCTACCTCTTGGAAGTGCATCTCAGGAAGATTTGTCATGGTACATGCATCTTATCAAAGTCATTTAGGCGAAGACTGCTTATTTGCTCCCGAGGCAAGATTAAATGATGGGAAAATATGGTTACTTATTGTTCACGCGGGAGCAAGCAGATCTCAATTGTTGCATTTTCTCTTGGGCCTCAGTACGGGCGCCCACGCTTCGTCACATTCAGAGGGGCCTATAGAACTCATACCTGTCAGTGCTTTTAGGATCGAGCCCGATATAACTGAGACGGGATACATGACGGTAGATGGGGAACACGTCGAGTATGGTCCTATTCAAGCTGAAATTTTCCCTCAGCTAGGGAGGATTATGATTCCTTGATCAGAACATTCCATTTATACTGATAATTTTAAAATGAAATCTAAGGTTGTGATTTTGTCTACTTTTGAGCCTCTTCTTATTAGGCTTGATAGTATTTGTTAGGCTTGAAATTTTTATATATTAGATTGTAAAAAATTGTTTCTGTTGTATAGAGAAATGCCAATATATGATATTTTCACCTGTTCACTTTCTAGACAATTTTTAAAACAATTTTAACAATCGAAATATATTTCTTCGATGATTTTAGCTTGGCAGTTGCCACGTTGTCAGTCAAGAAGTTTAAACCGGCGACGTGGCAACCAGCTAGGAAATTGTTGCGATTGCGATTGTTGCGAAAAATAACAAATTTATTTAACATATCATGGCCAATATAAGAAGTGATTCAAATTTTATTTGTAACATTGCCTGAAGATTAAGATATTAATGAGATTAGCTCGACTAAAATTTATGCCAAACTAGTTAAATTAACAAACGTTGAAATCCAACATTAACACTTAAAATTTAGAGTATTGTTAAAAAAAGATGTTTTTACATCAAAAGTTGATTCATTTTCAAGTATTTTTAATAAGCAAAATTTTTATTTTTCATGTATCGCTACTGCAATAAAATACAGCAACAGTATATGCACGGTTAGAGTACTAAGATTTTATAGTAAACATAATTCTTGACAAAAAAATTTGCTTGTTTTTGAAATAAGGTTGCCATGAAGAGAATGTTCACAAAATGAAAAGAATCTGAATCATTATACGAGTCATATCCACAGAGTACTCAATTTTCATCAAACACTATTTTTTGACGTAGTCGCCTTCAATCTCGATGCACTTTGTGAAACTCATCGTCGGTAGAAAACATTTCTTTATCCTTAAACACCTTCAAAGAAGAGAAAAGATGAAAATTAGAAGGTGCTAGGCCAGGCTGTGAGCGGGGTGGTTAATGATATTCCAACCAAGAGTTGCTTTATGGCTGTGTGGAGATTCCCTTCGTTAACATTCTCTTTCTTTTGTTTTGTATCGCCTTCCGTGATGTTTTCAGGGTTTCACAGTACCATGCAGCATTAATTGTTCTCCCCTGGGGCAAAAAGTCAATGTGGAGAATCCCTTTATGGTTCCAAAAGACAGTTGCCGTGATTTTTCGGGCCGAAACAACGGTTTTGAATTTTTTCGCTGATGGTGAAGATGGATGTCGCCACTATATTGATGCGCTTAAAAAATTCCCGTGAAGAAGCAATTCTGTCGGCTTTGTGTTGATCCATGAGCTGTTTTGATACCCACCTGGCACATAATTTTCGATAACCAAGTGTTTCGGTAATGACTTCATACAGAAGAGATCTGGAGATTTGTGGAAGCATTTCCTCGATCTTGTTCATCGTCTTATCTGTCACAATTGTGGGAAGCCCATTGCTTTGTTCAATATGAACATTCATTCTGCCAGCTTTATACTAACGACACCACTTGAACACATTAGTATGATTCATCACACCACCCTTATAAACAGTTCTGATTTTGTTAAAAATATGGTATGGCGCCTTTCCCTTTGCAAAAAGCCGGATTATGCTCCTCACTTCACAGGTGACGGGATTTGGAATCGCGGCACTCGCTTCAACACACCACTACAACAACAGTTCTCAACTGACTAAGACAAATGAGTGTGCGTTATGCTCGTAACACCTTGGCCTTGAATAAAGTGTTGTCAACTTTATTGAAAACAAAAACCACAAAGCATCCGAGTCTCAGTACTCTTTGTGGATATGCCTCGTAATTATCGACATTGAGAAAATGGTATTAAAGAAAGTTGTTCGGAGTTAAAAGTTCCAGAATTTCTATTTGTGGATAAATTGAAATAGAAGAGACAGAATCTGTTTAGTGAAAAAAAAACAGTGTATTTCAGTTTGGCTGCATTTTTATGGTATGCAAACAACTCCTGCTTTATTTGTATAAAGGATATGTCCATTGTCTTTTCGTGTGAGGGTGTAGTGGGTCACCCACGTTTGTTCATCTTCCACTTAAAGCGTGCAAAAAATTCCCGTGAAGATGCAATTCTATCGGCTTTGTGTTGATCCGTGAGCTGTTTTGGTACCCACCTGGCACACAATTTTCGATAACCAAGTGTTTCGGTAATGACTTCATGCAGAAGAGATCTGGAGATTTGTGGAACCATTTCTTCGATCTTGTTCACCGTCTCATCCGTCACAATTGTGGGAAGCCCATTGCTTTGTTCAGTATGAACATTCATTCTACCAGCTTTATACACACGACACCACTTGTACACATTAGTTTGATTCATCACACCACCCCTATAAACAGTTCTGATTTCATTAAAAATCTGGTTATGGCACCTTTCCCTTTGCAAAAAGAAACCGGATTGTGCTCCTCACTTCACAGATAACGGGATTTGGAATAGCGGCACTCGCTTCAACACACCACTACAACAACAGTTCTCAACTGACTAAGACAAATGAGCGTGCTTTATGCTCTTAACACCTTGGCCTTGAATGAAGTGTTGCCAACTTTGTCGAAAACAAAAACCACAGAGCATCCGAGTCTCAGTACTCTTTGTGGATATGCCTAATTATCAACATTGATGAAATAGTATTAAAGAAAGTCATTCGGAGTTAAAAGTTTCAGAATTTCCATTTGTAGATAAATTGAAATAGAAAAGACAGAATCTGTTTAGTGAAAATAAAAAAAAAACGCAGTGTATTTCAGTTTGGCTGTTTTTTATGGTATCCAACAACTCCTTCTTTATTTGTATAAAGAAGGATATGTCCATGTTTTTAAGAGATAAATAAAAATTTTAAACTTGGTTGAAAATTAGTTTATAAATAATTTTCTAGTTTGATACTTTTTAACCTGAAAATACAGCATTCAAGGTCGCCGTTAACCCGGAATTAAAAGTAAGGGCAAATTTAAAATATCAGAATACAGAATCTACTTCTAGGTTATAAAAAATGTACAATTTAGAATTGTTGATAAAAACCCAAACTGTATAACCATCAATTTCTTCTGTATCTGTTGCTATTCTCTTATTTAACTATTATTGAACTTCTAGGAGAAGTTGTCCCCACAAAAATAATAAAAATTATATTATTATAAACATGATTGGCATTATATCTTTAAATTAAATTGAAACCAGAATCCACTAAAAATTGTTGAAAAATTAGAGCGTCTTATTACAATTTCTTTGTGAATATATTGCTAGCATCAAGTGTGAACACAAATTTTGTATAAAAAAATATTCTCATGGAAAGCTGTCCTAACAATTAATTAACGGTCAAAAAATTTATCAATTTCTTTGACTGTGTAAAAGGCCCTTTAAGAACAAGCAAAATGTATCAATAATCTTTTTGTGAGCGAGATATAACCTACAAAGTATATATCATATATGACAAATGATATTAGCTGTTTACTAGTTATTGTGGATGTAATTTAATGCTGGATAGGGCCTATAGCCTGGAGAGTAGTTGTTTCCTACAATATTATTAGTTAAAAAGAATTATGTTCCTATAAATTGAAAAAAAAAAAAAAATGTTCAATCCAGTGTAATCATGGCCATTAGACATGTGCAATACCGATACTTTTAAGTAACGAATCGATATTGATACTTTTCAGATGAGTATTCGGTACTTTGTATTCGTTACCCAAACTGATACTTGATACTTACGATTCCTATGAATTTGCTTTCGCGTTACTACTAAGAGTGCTAAGTAGTAACTACGCATCGCATATCAGAGCGTTGAATATTGAGACCTACTGATTACTGATATATTTCATTTCTTATTTATTTGAGTAGGACCCGTTGGCTACTCTTAGTGTTCAATAGAATTATATTTACGTTAATTATTGTATATCATTTTATCTTAAAATGTATTAAAAATAAATAAACTATACACAGATATTTATTAAAAATATTTTATATTTTGGTAAAAAAAGTATATAAAAAATAAGTATAATAAATAACAAAAACTATTCGTCCATCTCACCCTACTAGTCACGTCACAAGTCCCCCCCCCCTATATAGTCATTTATATATATGCAAGTCCCAGAAAAATAATAAACAAACAAACTATCGAAATCGCGTGGAGATCAAGATCGAGCGTTATCGACATCGACGGACACTCCGATACTATCGACCCAATAGTTTGGTGCTATCTCTGGTAAACTTCTATTATCGATACTTAGTAACGATTACTTTTTCAATTGAGTATCGATATTTTCGATACTCTACAAATATTGAATACTAAGTAACGAATAGATAGTATTTGCACATCTCTAATGGCCATACTGTAGATTCATATAAGCAATAAAATCCTAAGATTGCAGCTTATCACAAGTACAAGTTAATATCGTCACCAGTACTGATAGGTTTAGTTTTATTGTAATTTACATTATTGGTTGACATGAGAATTACAGCTGATATTACAGAGTGTTCCGTTAAAACATCCTTATATAAGAGTTATCTAAGTTCTGTAAAAAAATGTTGTGTAGTTCCTATAAATGACTTCAAATTTGGATCCAAACGAAATTCTATTTATACTGCTATTGATGGTGTAGCAAATCTAAAGAACTTTTTCAATTATAGGAACTTTAGGAAGTGATCATGAAAAACTATTCAATTTGCACCAATTGCTGTAATATAAATAATTTCCAGAAAATAATAATGAAGATATACGAACCTGAACATATTTTTTTAAAGAACAAAAAATTATATTGATTATTGCGAAAATAAGTTTTGTGTGCTTTAGAATTTTTTTTCATTTCAATTTAATATTTAATGAAACTTTCTTTATTTTTCTGAAATAAAAAAAAAATCGTTATTTCAAATGACAATCATGATAACTGTATAATTGTCATTATTTTACAATACTTATTTAATAAATTACATATTTAAGCAGTAGAATTTAATCGTGAAAATAATAACATAACTTAAAAAAATTTAAAATAATCAAAACCAAAGATAAATAATTTCCCGTCACACAAAGAGCTGAATAGAAGCAGAACTATAAACATTCCAAAGCACCCAAGAACCAAAAATTTTTCAAAAACTTTATAAAGGGTATCCAGAAATTCCGTGAAAATAATTTCAGGGGTGATTCTACAAAAAAATTTTTCCACATAAACATAGCTCTGCAAATCAGTTCTAACGGTGTTATTTTGAGAAAAAAAAGGCTCTATAAAAATAATACGTAAACTCTCAATAAGTTCTGTTTGAATAAAAACATTAAGGAGTTTATGGCATCACTATATTTAAATTAAAAATCGTCAGGTATGCTTACAGTTGATATAGAAATCTATTTATTTGACATGTTTGTCAAAAACTATTGTATTATTCGAGTTTTAAAAATAATGGAATATTCATTAGAAGAAATGACTGACATACATTTTATATACGCATATTTGAATGTTTTGATAAACACTTTACCAGATTTGCTTGAAGATGTACCCATCAGATTAAGAGCAGAAGCATTTCTCATGCATGATGGCACTCCAGCCCATTACAGTGTCTTAGTTCCAGACTATTTAAATCAAACTTATCCAGACCGTATGTATTGAGCAGTTTTAGCCCATTGCGTGGCTACTTTGTTCACCAGATTTAAACCTGTTGGATTACTTCCATTGGGGTTCAAATAGCCCCAACGGAAGTAGTCCAACAATTAGTTTATTCAGTTCCTGTTGACAATCTATAGCAACTGGAACAGCAGGTCATAGATTATTTTCAAGAAATATGGAATAAGCAGCTAGTTAGACTAGCAATGAGGTGCCGTTTAGACAGCAGTATTGGGATGAATGGAACACTCTTTCAACACTTGTAACTTGTTCTCTATTTTGTTAATACGTTCTTTTCTGTTATCTAATATTATAAAAACCCAATTTTTGAACCGTCATAACACCTTTAGGATTGATTTGCGGACCTATGTTCATATGACAAATTCTTCATGTTTTCTGGATTATTCGAACGGAACTTCTTGACACCCTGTATATCAAACGTTCGGAATTGAATGGTTTTTCACATGGACCACTTTCCAAAGTTGTTACTGAAAAATTTAAAGATGTCTTCTACACTCAGAACAGTAGCTATTTAGATGCAGTACACGATATTTTTTTATAGAAGTTTGTTATTTGTTTTTCATGTAGGGAAATTGAGAACACAGGAAAACTGAGAAATTGAGAAGGTTTAAAGAGAACACCCTGTATATCATGCCCATGGTAGAAAATACAATATGGATGTGCAATATTCCTAGTTATACTACATTAAAACACTATGATTTCATTAAGGTGTTCTGTTCTATATCCATATTGTGCATTTATTTTTTTTAAATATATACATGAAGAAATGACATGAATATACACAAGAATGAAGAAATATGAACCATATGTGACAAATATTTTTCTTACAATTAAGATATGTTTTATTGATTTTTTGTGGGTTTTAAAGGTGTCCTAGATGGGTATCTCTGAATACAAAATCCCTTTCCTACTTATTTACCTTAGCTTTACAGGTTTATACAGTGTATGCCTAAGTATGATCTGATAATAAAAGGAGGAGTGATTCTTTAGTTAAAAAAGGAAATCTATTTAAACATATATCCTGAACAGCCTAATTTAGTTACGGTGTTACATTTTTCATCATTTTGTAAATAATTTTAAACCATTTTCAGAGAAAGTGAGTGCTATGAATAAAAAAATGAGTATTTTTCTATAATGGAAGAAAATATGAAAGCACTTTTTTCAAAGTGTAAAGATATGATAAAAAGTATTTTCTAAAATTTAACATCTTGTAACTCGAAAACTAGACTGTTTGAGACATATGTTCATAGGAAATTGTTTCTCTTAAATAAACTATAATCAAAAACACATCCTTTGTTTACTATTGGAATGTACTTCAAGAATACCTTGTATTTCTTATTAATTAATATGAATTTATACATTTGTTATTACTTGTCTTCACAAATTGTGATAACATTTTTAGTAAGATTTAGTCTAATAGTAAGTATTTTTATGTTGTTGCCTAAAATATTCTATTTGTTAAATAAAATCTTTATCTACTTATGTGTTTTTAAGAGCTTCAAAACAAAAACTTATTTGAAATAATTTATTACAACAGACATAATATGAGGACCTGGATGTCCCAATATTCCGTGTTAATATCACTTCCAAGATTATTGAGGTCAAAAAAGATGCTACCTTACCTCACTTCATTTAACCCCTACAAAGTTTTAAAATTAGCAAAAAAAAATTTGCTTCATTTTCTTCCAAATATGTACTGTACTACTACTATATATGTATACTTACAGTCCCTATGTACCCTTACAGGGTGATTCACAACTTATCCAACAAATTTTTGTAAAATCCTTATAGTTTCCCAGAAGAAAATTATCGAAGTTGTAGTATTTTCAACCTTTACATCGCTGGGCTACTGTTAGCCTTTAGCATGATCCGCGTTGTGCGCTGTGCACAATGTGCTGTCTCTCCACGTGACCACAGGCGATTCCGAATACTGAAATCAGTATCAATGTTTTTGCGATAGTGTTGACATTAGTTTTTCCAGTGTCAAAAATGCAAGACAACATTTGTGTTAGTTCGTAGAAACTGGGTGAGATGGGGCCCAAATGTGGTTACACATCGGTGGAAAAAATTTTGAACAGTTGTAACATCAGGTATGTCAAATTATTTTATTAATTAAAACCTTAAATTAATTTTATTAATTAATAAAAACAATAGCAGCAAAAGGAGTTCAATTTGATGATATAAAATAGCCGTGCCTGTTACCTATGGCATGCTTTGTCTTGCGCAAGGTGAGATTTTACAGTGGACCAGTTTCCAGTGCCGTGTAAAAGTGTATTTTTAAATCATTTTTGAACTGTTCTTTTTGATTTTTTTTTTATAAAATCATATCTGAAAGAGTTCCCTGTACATTCGAAAATTTTATTTGGATAAGTTCTGAATTCTGTATGCTCAAATCTTTTTGGTATGTAATTTGACAACTTCAATTCCTATTTTATCAAACAGATAAGTGTTTTTCCAGTTTTCTCTGTCATAAAATTTTTGTATTTTTAACAATTTAGCAAGAACTATTTTATTAGTTATTGCCAAAACATTTTCGATACATATACAAGGTTAGTCGGGAGAATCGCAATTGAACTCCAGGAATGGGTTTTACACATCAGAATAATAAGAGAAACCTTAAATATTCAGTGAGTATGGCATGGGCGAAGAATAATGGAAGTCTTGCCACAAACTTCTTTTCGATCAGATGAAGAACACAGCAAAAAGATTAGAAACTCAACGGAAGATTACAGATTTTTTTAAAGTGTAACATGTTATGTTTAGTTTATTACACCAAATAATGTATTTTGAGTTGCACTAATCTATTAAATAAAGATTTCCTATATGTTTGCATTTCAAATTTAATTATCCAAACAAATCGGTTATCTTAACAGTGGCTTGCAATAATTAGTTTTATTAGGTTCCACTGTAATAATGTAGCAAATTTCTAAATCCGGTAAAGCGTTTTAGAATGGCTAAATGTGGCAACTTTAGATACAGATAAATTTAGTTAAATCTTATTTTCACTCCAAAAATTGTGGAAGTTCCATGTATACGTAATATTGTAACATCCTGTAAAAATTATGTTCTAAATCTAAACTTCTTTCCACATATTCAGTAAATGCAATTTTTTTGTGATATCATTAGCTTGTGGCTGAAAGACTTGAATCGATGGCCATTTGCTTTATCCAATAAAGTATGTTTATTATAATTATTATATTAACATCCATTTCGCTAGTTCATTAGTAACAGAGCAATCTTAACTGGTTCAACAGTGTATTCATCTCCATTTATCACTGGTGAATGTCACTTTTATCTACATGCTCAGTGTATCACCTACTAGATCATTTACTCAAAAGAAAAATTAAGCAATTTACTTGATTATTAATTTACTTCTCTACTAGCTTAATTAATTAATGTAAACTAAAACGTAAATGTTTGTAATGAAAGAAGTTTATTCAAACTTATAACGAATTATCTAGGTAGTGTACGGGAAAAAGTTCACTTTTAAGCACGTTCTGTGTCCTGAAAACGCAAAACACCTACCTCTTTAGAGGAACTTTATCCCTTGCAAATCCAAACATATGTTAAAATGATATATTTAATAGATATTTCTCTAAATATAATTATATATTTGCTTGTTAATACTGACATAAAAAATGATGTAGTAATTACAAAATGTTTTCAGGGTTATAAAATATTTATGCTAATTTAAATTTCTCTATGTCGTTAAGCAATTTAGACATTTGATCATCTAACTCCTCAGGTGGTCCTGAATTTAAAGATAATTTCATTAACTGTAAATTATCTACATCAGACTGAAGTTTTTCCATTTTTTCTTCTATACCCCTCATTAATATTGATAATAGTAAATCCACGACCTACAAATAATTCTATTATACTTTTAATCTTGAATTGAAACAGCTCAAACATTTCGTAATTATGATGTTGAATACGTTTGTTTGAATTGTACATGTAGGTAACCATAACAGAATTGCACTGTACCATTACCAACTCAATTATATTATTTTACAGGGCATTTCACGATTAATTGCATAAACTTAAAGTGTACCTTCAAGTAGTCAAAATAAGAAAAAATATCCAATAAAAAATGTCCATTACTTGTCTAATGTCACTTAAATACTGGATTTTTCATGTATAATTATCAAGTCTTATTAATTAATTACTTAATTTAATAATAATTCTGAATACAAATGGTTAATTCTCTTTATAGCAAGATTGCTAGATAGATTGCATTAAACCAAACAATTTGTTTTTAAAGTTTTATTCATTATTAACATTTTTAATACAAATCGGTTATTAAACATTTTGGCTGCAATATGACAAGTAACATTTACTCTGGCTTAATTCCTACTATGGGGCTTTTTATAATACGAGTGACTGTGTCTGTGTGTGTGTGACTGTGACTAACAGAATAGCATTATATCGAGTACTGTTTATGCGACACAATTATTACTTTTCAATGTATTCGAATTATCTTGCAAATTTTGCTATATTACAGAGGATGTCAAAATGCAACAAACTGTGAAGGCTGGTAATAAATCTCTATCTAAATAAGGCATAGTAGGCCTCTAACAAAATGCAAAATTTTATAAGTAAATTATTTATTTGGACTTCATGAGCGTGTTATTGGAACTGAAGTAACACGAAAATGTTATTAATTTTTTTTGTGAAACAACTGTAATGTAAGTTAAAAAAGTACTAACTCAGAAAAGGTCTATATTATAGAAAATATGATTATTTTTTAAATTTTGTCTTTCTTATTTGACCACCTGAATTTAAATTTTAAGTTTGTTCATCCAAAAACACCCTGTACATTAAATGTGACAAAGCTTTATGCAACTGTTCTCTGTTCTTGAATAACTAACAAGACTGGGCTGTAACCAGGGGGGGTCAAGGCAGGACATTACACTGTCCGATAATCTTCACCTACCTGACAAAATGTTTGCTCTACACAAATCACTACCTATCCCTCAGTCCTCAGATTAATACTATCCTGACATTCATCCTGCCTTGCAGTTTCTATCTGGCTACAGCCCTGGTATCTGATTGAAAGCTGTGGTTCACATTATACCTTGAATATCTTGAATACTTATCTAAGGATTATTTGAAGAAAAAATGATACTCTTGCTTTCTGGTTGAACAAGTCAAATCCCTTCTTAAAGTTTTCATAACGTTGCTGTTATACCCAATAAATAAACTGAATGTGAAATGAAATAACTATCTTTCAGTATTTTACTTACCTGTTGCACTTCTTCTCTTAGTTTAACCATTTCAATAGCTCCTTGTCTCCACCCTTTTTGTAGTATCTCTAATTTACTTGAAGCTAATTGCAGAGGATTTCGTCCGTGCATATCCAAACAACTAACATCTGCTTTTGCATTTATAAGCATCGAAATGATAGAAAAATTATGTATACAAGCTGCTAAATGTAATGGAGTATTATAAATTACATCTCTTTTGTTGGGATCAGCCCCATAATTTAACAAAATCTTGACTATATCTGCATATCCTTTACTTACTGCTACATGTAAAGCACTTCGTAATTGAGAATCAGTACTATTTGGATTAACACCACATTCTAAAAGTCTTTTAACCTCTTCCGTATTGTGAACACTTACTGCTTGTATTAATCTAATTTCTGGATAAAGAGGTTCTAATTTTTTTTTCAATTTTCTCAAATCTTCAGCTGTCGAGAGTTTCGTTTTTGCTTTAAATTCAATGTGCAACTGTTTTCTAATTTTTTCTTTTACATGATCTTTAATTTCACTATCACTATGAGACATACCTACTTATCAGATTATCCAGATTCTAAATTGTTTATTACAAAAATGGTAATTAATTTGTTCCCTATCAATACCAAGTATTTTGAGCAAAAATTTTTATTTTCTTGTTTGTTTTTGTTGTTTTCGGCATAGAACATAAGTAAAGTAAAGAATGCTATCCACAGATAAGAGAGATAACTAATGCTATATCCATTCAAACCACAAAACATACATTACAAAATACAATACACATGACACCACCCCCGGGGTTACACAGACGAGCCGGCGAAGCAAGAAGAGCGCCAGAAGAAAGGGCCCTAGCCGGCGGGGCCCAGCCAGGATAAAAGGAGGTCCCACAAAGCGCCTACACCGGCCGCATTTGCGGTCGGGGTAGACGACGGATGAGGCCCACCTACGAAGGCTGTCCAGGCCTACACGAGATGAGGTAGGATAAAGAGGGATAATCCCCCTCGATCCCAAATCATTAAGGCCAATTTCTAGCTATGGAATAATGGCGAATTCATTCAAGACCATGAAGAATACGATGGTGGCGCAACTATTTGCCAGATAGAGAACTACGTTTTGTGCGAAAACTGCAAAATGGTACGCCAAAACTAGTGGTAGAAGAGTAGTGGAACTTTATTTATTTTTCTATCCTAGCTTTACATATTACCATTTTAGGCTTTTTTCGCTAGTCAAGTCGTATGTTGTACCGAGAAATCCAGAATTATTGAAGCGTTTGGGGAACGCAACCCATTTCTAACACCATCTTTAGTATATAAAAATCTGTAGTATTGGCAGAGACAGGCATTGGCTGCGATCTCCAAATACTTCAATCCTTAGACCATATACTACACGCTCTAAGCTTCATTCATTCTGGATCTCTCTGTAGTATGCGTAGTATGAGTAAGTGAAAAAAAAACGTGCTCTTTATTATTCTATTCCTAAATGCAGCCCGGTGAAGGCCAAAAAGGGATAAAGCATACAACGACCTAACCTAAAACAGTAAAACTTAGCCTTAAACCAATCGGCTATAATTTTTAAGATGCAAGCGCACCAAGCGGCGAAAGCGATAAGCTCCAAGACAAGGTAATTTTGACCTTGGCGTTCGTGCTTAAACATTCATTTGAACAACAATCGTTTTATTTTCTATTATTATTAGTAATTTTGTTATTAAATTGCGGTTATTTGATTTTTGTGTTATTTTATAGGTTACAAATATTTCATAAATAAATTTTAATTCAAGTATATATGTCTACCTTGTTTGTTTCTAGCATTACAATTTATTGTACATTTTTTGGGGTTATAACTATGAAGTTATCCGTTGGGGAATACCTACATTTCCTATTTAAACGCCAACGAGAACTCTCGTTGTATATCAGAAGGAGAGGCAGTTTTTAACGCTAGTCATGTGGTACTCTTTGGAAAAATGGGCAAAGTGATTTAAATTTGGAAATCTATTTATTGTGTCTGCAAACTAGTGCCCTTACTAACAACCCTCTTGAAATTCAGGGAGTATTGTCTATCGACAATAATGTTTTGAAAATTTCTTCAATGGTATGATAAAAACTTCATTTTGGATTTTTCTTAGACCATGAAGAACAACCGCGCGCCATTATTCTATGGCTAGAAATTGGCCTCAATGATTTGGGATCGAGGGGGATTATCCCTCTTTATCCTGCCTCATCTCGTGTAGGCCTGGACAGCCTTCGTAGGTGGGCCCCATCCGTCGTCTACCCCGACCGCAAATGCGGCCGGTGTAGGCGCTTTGTGGGACCTCCTTTTGTCCTGGCTGGGCCCCGCCGGCTAGGGCCCTTTCTTCTGGCGCTCTTCTTGCTTCGCCGGCTCGTCTGTGTAAACCCCGGGGGTAGTGTCATGTTTATGTGTGGTATGGTTGGGTAGGGTAGTGCGGCTATGCAGCCTGGGATGCGCTTTGCTAAGG